CCCTGGTCAGGCAGGCGTGTGGCTGTTAAGGAATGTGCAGGGCCCGCAGCTCCCCTCTGGGGTGGATTTCAAGATAAAAAACAGGGAAGGAGACGACAAAAGCTTTTCTCCTCCTCTGCTTGCATCTCAGTGTAGCTCTGTAGCTCAGCCAAGGCAGGTGCTGGGGTTTTGCACAAAGGCTTGCAGTGAGCAAGGGGAGGGCAGCTGGGGTGATTTCATCTTTTCCTTCTTGGTGTCTTAGAAGCCGGCAGTAAAGGAGCACATTCCCTCTCGCTCCCCTCTCCTCCACCTTCCAATCCCTCCCCTCCTGCCAGAGAGGCACCGCAAGGGGGGAAAGGCCAAAGAACACATTTTTCTGCAGCTGCACAGTCGTCATTTCGCACTCACAAGCAAGACAGGAATGTTTAGCAAAGTGGAGCCATCTGGCTAAGGCACTTCCAGGGCTGTTCGGCGCAGGAGACAAAGGACTGTATGAAAGCAAAACATCACAGAGATAACCTGGAGTGGAGAAGAAGACACTGAGCAAGGCCAGGCCTCGGTCACAACAGCTTGGCTTTGCAAGGTGATGTTCTCGGGTGTAGTACGCTGTTGCAGCAGCCACCTGAAGGGGAAAAAAAGTTGGAAAAAGCTTAGACAAGAAACAGTCATGGCACTATTGCAGAAACAAGACATCTCCACCGTGCTTTGAATGGTTTAAGTGCTTCTAAAAAGTGCTCACAGAGGGGCTTCCCATCCACAGGAGGGATAAAAGGTACCATGGTGCCCAAATAAATGCATTAGTGCCCATACAGTCTTCAAATCGTAAAAACACAGATGGAGAAAGAGAGGCTGGCAGCACACGAGTAAGGATTATGTGCAGAAAACAAAGATGAGAAGCTGCCTGGGCAAGAGACTTACAGATGGAAAGTTCTGCGGCGTACTTGGAGATAGCTTGTAGAAAGCATACTTACAGCAGAAAAGAGAATAAGAATAGGTAGGGAAGGGAATTGAGGAGTTGTACCTTGAACTCAAGTGAAAGGAAAGTAGAGGGGATTTGGGGGAAGAAAAAAAAAACAAACCACCTACAGGCTTAGCCAAAAAAATAAACAAACTTAGCACAAGAGCAGAGCAGGAGGTACATGGAAAGAACTTCTGTTTATTACCTCTCAGCATACTCTGCACAGACCTGAAATAACCATAATGGTGAAAATACCAGTGTGGGTCATGCCTCTGCTCTGCCTTGCAATGATAATCCTCACCTCGGTCAGCTGAGGCGCAGGTAAAGCAGCTGCCTGAAACAGAGCAAAGTGAAGGAACACCAGGAAAGGGATCGATCCTTCCTGCAAGTGAGGACTCCTTAGCATGTGTTGACAGAAAATTTCTAGCTTGCAGCCAGATCTCAGCGGTGGAACTAGTGTAACTGAAGCAGGCAGTAAATTACACAGCTAATGAGAATGACGGGGGGGGGGGGTAAAGAATAACAGGCTGAGGCACAGCGAAGGCAGGCACTGGAAGAATCACAAACGGCGGGAGGAGGACGAAGCAAGAGGCTGGAGCAAAGACGCGACGCC